GAAGAAGAGACCGCCGGTGTGGAGTGAGGACACTGGTGGATGCTGCTGGGCTAGGGTTTGGTGGAGGAGAATCTCAAAAGATGGGAAGGTGTGAGAAATGAGAAGTGCAGAACTCGGGCTTTTTGTCCTTTTGCGACTGGTTCAATCAGACACCTTCGCTTAACAGCCAAAGTCCCGTTAATATTTGAATCTCCCCGCCCCGTCGATGTGTCATTTTCTAGTTGGTGGATTCACTCATTCCGTGAACCCATGGGTTCATAGAATGTGATCTCGATCATATGTCGTCCATTTTTTGAAATTATATGATAGGCTATACAACGGGGTGGCCCATCCCAACCTAAGTAAAGGCCGAATTTGATTTCAAGTCTCCACTACGAGCTTATGACTAACAGGAGACCAACCATGCATCTGGTTGGGACCTTACTATTATCTTTCATCTTTCAATCATAAACTAAAAATTTGTGAAGTGGGATACATAAAGATTTTCCCGATCGATCATTCCTGCACCACTTTGCAATGACATGATTTTAGCTACACATGGCCCTAGCCCAACTACGACGTCACTTCATATAAATTCAGATGCGGCCATGACTTTGATTTCGGGTGTTGAGCACTAAAACCGTAAACCATAAAACGTCGTGGCAAAAGACAAAAGTGTAGTGGGTAAATTTCTTAAACTACCCTCAAATTTTAGGAAATTTATTAATTATGCCCGTATTATTTATGTATTGTCTTAAAGTATTCTCAAGTTTTTTAATAATTGTTTAAAACATTTTTTACTGTTAATTTTTCATCACACTCCATGTCATGTAACATTATGTGATTGATATGTATTTTAAAATTTTCTAAAATACCCATTTATAGTTTCACTCCACTTCGACAATCTCCTTCTTCATCTCCGATTCTGATTCCAACTCTGTCTCCAACTTGTCTCTAATTCTGATTCCAATTCTAATTATGTCTTCATCTACGTCTCTAGCTCCAACTCTGTCTTTGTCATCGTTTCCGACTCCAATTCCGGCTTCGACTCTGCAATTTCTATAGGAACCCCCCCATATCCGAACTCTCCAATTCGAGTATGGGGGGTTACTTTGACAGGGTCGAGGTCGAGGATGGGGAACGCAATCCCCGCTCCGGGCCCGATTAATATATATATATATAATATAATATTATATATTATTTATATAATATTATAATGTTATATATTATATTATTATTCATTTTTTTAAAGGATTAAAACTTAAAAAACATTCGACGTAGGACACTTCGAGTCTTCAACAGATAGAAGTGGAGAACTTTGAAGTGTGAACCCCAGTCTTCTTCCTTCATCTTCGTCGCCGATCACCGTCATTGTTGCCACTCGCCCATCGGACATCAGACGTCGTCGACTACCAGTCTACCACTTGATGAGGAGGTGGAGGAGAAGTAAAAGGAGAGAAGATTTGAAATTCTGAATGAGTTTCACGGTAGATAATCTGAAAGGATTTGTCTTGGCTCTTCTCTCAAGTGGGTTTATAGGGGCAAGCTAGTTTTATAATTAAAAGGAAAGGTCTTAGACGTGCTGCAACTGCTTCTGGAGTTCAAGCGGGTGGGTTCATTTGATTTTTATCGACAAATGGTAGTGCTTTGGTGAGTTATTGATTTTCTGACATGGGTTTCTGTTGATTCTTTATTTTTTTCCTATTTTCCTTTTTTCTGGTGTAGGAGTTGGTAGCTATTCGTATCTTTTGGAGCCTCTGTGGTGGCCATTCCTATCTTTTGGAACCTTTGTTGATTCTTTGCATTTGCTCCAACTGTTTTAAGACTAGGAGTCTAGATTTTGCAGTGACCCTTGGGAATTCGGGTCTCCGACAGGGAATTCATCCCCGTCAGGGTCGGGGACCATTCCTATCTTTTGGAACCTTTGTTGATTCTTTGCATTTGCTCCAACTGTTTTAAGATTAGGAGTCTAGATTTTGCAGTGACCCTTGGGAATTTGGGTCTCCGATAGGGAATTCATCCCCGTCAGGGTCGGGGATGGAGGAGGATTCCTTTCCCTAACGGGGAAGGGGGGTGATTTGGGGGTCAAGGTCGGGATAAGAAATGTAATCCCCACTTCGAACCCGCTCCCTTGCCATTCCTATGTGGCATCAACAACAAAAGAACAAACAATCTTTTGTCACCATTAATTTGAAGAGGTGAAGGCACAAGCAATGTTCAAATTATCATTACGTATTAACCCATATTGGCCGATACGTATCGTATCGGGGCCTTCCCGATATGCCCCTACAAGGGATGTATCAGGCCATGATTCAGAAGATACACGGGACTTAAATCGACTCTTCTGAACTAATTTTGAAAAAGAATAAATAAAACATAAAAAAACACCGATACAAATCAATACACCCAACCTCTAACAATATTTAAAACCTTGGGTACAATTGTTGGGAAAAGCTGGATAGGGTTGTTGATTTTCGGAGTTGGGATTTCACTTACAGAAAACCTTTGCAAGTTTCACTCCATTCTCCATCTCCGGTTCCTTCTATCAACAACACCGCCCACAAGTCCCACTTCACTATCTACAATAATTGCATGTGAAGCACTTCAAATGACCTCTCTCTCTCTCTCCAATTCACGACACTTTTTTCTATTTATTATTCTTCAAAATCCGACCTCCTACACCTCTCCTTCATAAAAAGATAACATGAAAATACCCTCCCACCACCACGGACACTTCTAATCGCTTTGCTAGCTTGCAAGGGAGCGAATTCAATACTTGCAAGGGTGATGTAGAAATGAACCCCACCATTATCCAAGAGAACGTCCATGTCGTTACTCCGAATCGATGGTAGATGCCACATGTCGTTTCCAAAATTCAGATTGAGCATCGGGTAGTGTTAGAAATAATAAGGGTGCTTTAAGACAATACTGAAATAATAGAGGTATAATTAACCAATTTTCTAAACCATAAGAGTATTTTAAAAAAAATTACTCAATTTGTAAACCATAAGGCAAATTTCTTAAACTATTCCTAAGATTTAAAAAATTGATTAATTATACCTTCACTGTTTGAGTATTATCTTAAAGAATCTCTACTACTTCTAACAATTGATTGAATCTTGTCTGTTAATTAAAGAATTAAAAAGATTATTTTACCCATCATTCTTCTTTAAAATTTTAAAATGAGGGCCTGTCAAAAAACACTACCCAACGCTCAATCTATATCTCAGGAACGACAGGTGGCACCAATGATCAGGAGCCTCGAACCCAACTTGACGAGTGGTTCATCTTTTCCAATCGACGAAGAGCCTCAAACCCAACTTGATTTCTTTTCGTTTCTCTTCTTCCTCTCCCTCTCCTTCTTCCCATTCTTATTCTTATTCTTATTCTTCTCCCCCCCTCGACCTCACCTCCCCTGTTTCATTGTAATACCACATCGTTGCCGCTGCAAATCTCCACCGCCCGAACCACCTCTATAAATGCCCGAACCACCACCACGAGTGCCCGAATCTCCACCTCCATTGGAACCGCCACTGAAACCACCGCTCTCTCTGATAGGAGGGGGTGAGACGTTGTCGCTGAAACTATTCAAAGTTATAAAATACTGACAAGTATGTTAATGGAAGACAGAGATGATAAGCTTAGTATGATACAATCATACAATTGTTATTCTAAAAAACTCTTCAACTTAATCAAATTGGTCGCTCCTTCCTCCCTGTTAACTTTACCGATACCTAACTGCTGCCGCTGCAACTACCTCTAACCCTCCCATCTACAGCCGTTGCCGCTTCAAGAATTTGCGAAGTGCCTCTCATAGAGTGAAGTGGGACTTGTGGGTGGTGACGATAGTGTTGATCTTGTTTATAGGAGGAATCGGAGACGGAGAATGGAGTGAGACTTGCTAAGGTGTGTGGAAGGTTTAAAATATCGATACACCTGATATGACGGTATGGGTGTATCTGACGAAGTGCCTCTTAGTATTTTTTTTTTCACAACTGGTTCAGAGAAATCGATTTAGGTTTCTTTCACACCCTGAATCGGTCAGATTCCCGATACATCCACTGTAGGGGTGTATCAGATGGATCTCGAAACGATATATATTGGCCGATATAGGTCGATACATATCGATACTTTGAACTTTGAGTATATGATTTTACAAAGAATGGGAGCATGAAGAACACTGATAATAGTGAAAATGGATTATTTGTTCTTTAGTCATTGATGCTAGGAAGCTTGTGTGATGTTACTGGTAAAATCTTTTAAAGAGGGGCTCTTATAGAAATTGCCGAGTCGAAGTTGGAATCGGAGTTAGAGACGAAGATGAAATTGGAGCGGGAGACTTAGAAGATGATGGAATAGGAATCAAAATAAGAGTTGTAGTGAGAGACGTAGACGAAGATGAAATCAGAATCGGAATCAGTTGGAGCTGGAGACGTATACAAAGTCATAATCGAAATGGGAATTGAAATCAAAGACAAAGTTGGAGTCAGAGCCGGAGGCATAGATGAAAACCGAATCAAAATCAGAATCAGAGACAAAGTCGGAGTCAAAACCGAAGATGTACACGACGACAGAATCAAAATCAGAATCAAGATAAAATCGGAAACAGAATCAAAATCAAAGAGAAACGGAAACTGACGGAGTGGGATAGAACCATAAAAAGGTATTTTAAGAATTTTAAAATATATATCTGTGACGTAATATCACGTGTGACGGAGTACGACGAGAAATTAATACAGAGGTTTTAGACAATTATTTAAAAACTTGAAGTTACTTTAAAACAATTAAACAGTAGAGGTATAAATAATAAATTTTCTAAAACTTATGGATAGCTTAAGAAATTTTCTCTTCTTTATTTCATCTTATTAATGAGCCGACCTTATCGTTTATCGCAATTTATCGTAGGGATACACTCTTGCTTACGTGGAGTAAAGATAACCAGTAGACGGAACTGATCGATGATCCATCAACTGAACGTCGATTCTCGTGCCTACGTGGCACCATTAAAACTAAGGGCGTGTATTACGCGCTTGAATTGGCGGATATCATAATCACAAGAACTCACGCTCCGTTGCTCTAGTCTCTGCCTGCGTACGAGTCGATGATGGCTTCCTCTCTGGCTCTCTTCTCCACCTTCACTGGCCCCGAAATTCACAAATCAAAAACCCTAACTTCTGTTTCAAAATCCTCAAACCCTCCATCTATCCTGTATTTTCCTCTTCGGTGGCAGCGGAAAGTATTGAGAATCTCTGCTTCGATCTCGACGCAGGAGGTTCGAACCAGTCCCGATGAACTCGTCGTGTCAATTCTCTCCAAGGTTTGATGATTTTCCGGATTCATTGGCTTTACTGTTTCACATCAAGTTCATCTCGTTGATTGTTATTTCGGTTCTGCTTTCCTGTTTCGCTTGTTTTTAGTCGGCATTGTGTCTCAGTTGTGCTGAAATATAACTTTATAAGTACATTGCAATTTATATGATACTTGGGCTAAATATTGAATGTAATAAGTGTGAAAAAGGTTCCTAAAATTTTCCGAACGTTGAAAATTAGATCCAAGAGATGGATTTTAGTGAATCTATACTAGTATAGAACGATAGTGGATAAATGGGATATGGGATTATTAGTGTTTGCAATAGGAAATTAGGAAGTTTTAGATGAATTTGGATTGCAGACTAACCATGACTAGAATGAAGACCTGTAGTTTCCTTGTAACGAATGTTTAAGTTGCATTAAATTTATCAGATCCTGAAAGGAAACAAATTGTATTAAAGATAAATCCACCTCCCAAAGTAGAGAGTGGCCCATCATGAACTTCTGGTTGAGAATTTTGCATGTCAGAGAGGTGCTACAGGGGTACTACTAATTACTGCGCAGCTGCCAATGGTTGGATACCAGTGGATTTTGCTTAGGTACTTCCTTTTGGGTAAAAATGATATAGAAGTGTTCCCTCTGAAACTGCTTATGTGAAATTTTCCTTTTCTTGTTTTATTTTCATTTTATGAGCTGGTAATAGAAGGAACTGTGTTGTTTGCTTAATTAGGTAAGAGGAACAGATCGAGGAGTTCTGTTAACCAAGGAAGGACACTTAGGAGTAGCAGAAGTGGCTCAGCAATTGCAGAAGTATTGTGTTGATGAGCCTGTAAAATGCCCACTTATTTTTGGAGGTAAACCCTAATAATGCCTTACTGACATATGATTAAGTACCGCATAAAAAATTTTCACTATGGGAAATGCCTACAAAAGTATTTTATTGGTAAACAGTGCATCTTCATAAATCAATTTTATTATTTTTTGGGTAAAATACCAAAAACTTCACCTATAGTTTCTGACAATCATAAAAACCTTCCCTATAGTTTCACTTTAATGAAAACCTCCCCTGAACTTTTAAAAAATTCGACAAAGACCTCCCTTCCGTCACTGACCCAGACAAAAGACATTTTAACCAATCCTTTTTTTTCTAAATATCCATTTTACCCTTTTGTAAAATGGGTACTGAAATAACTAATCAGTGAAGAATAGATTAAGTGGACCAATGACAGTTGCCGGTGAAGAACCATTATTATGTGTTGCTGCCAAATATGAGGCCGAGGGCAACAAGGTGATTTCGCTAGTATCCGAGGCCGACAGGTCTGATCTGTAAACAGGAGAAAAGCACATGTTAGAGGCCCTGGGTGTTATCCCAAGGGCGGAGATTCCGACGGTCAAGTTAGCCGAATGCTTAAGAGGGGTCGAACTAGGCAAGAGACGAGAGCTTAGAGCTTAGTCCTTAATAGATAAGGATGATTCTCTTGGGATTCTGGATATGCTTACCTTGAGGTGACTTCCCCCTTTTATAGCTAACATTGCCTTAGGAGTGGTTGGATGTAGTTGATGATGTGTGGCCAGGATTCGATCTAGCCGACGCCACATGGCGCGATCTGAGGCCCGCCAAGTATCTCTACATCACTTACCCCTCACTCTCGAGGCCGTAGTGGTTGAGGTCGGATGGCGCGTTGTGAGGATACCTCGGCTTCGGCTGAAGAGAGTACAATGGAGTTGTGTGGAAATGTCGGCCTCGGTTGTAGAGGACTCTTTATGGCGGCTGTGTGGCGACTGCTTCTCTATTCACTCTCCATCTCAGTGGAGGATCGTTATGGGCTGAGAACGCGTGACCGTGGTTGGCACAAGTGTGGGACGTTTGCGTTCGTCGATCGTGCCCCATACGGGTGTTGACGTCATCTGGTGTAGGTCTGTACACGAGATGGGTGTTGGTGTTGATCGGTTGAGGCCATGCACGAAACGGTGCGGAGGGGCGTACAGTTTGGGTTGTTCTTGACCCGGAGCTAATAGGCGAATTGGATCATCCCTTCGGTGTCGTTTCGTCTTCCCGAGGTTGATGCCACGTGTAGCCCATCGATTTGGGCTATCAGATCGGCTAGTCTGTGGTCGTTGGATCAAAGAGATCTGAGCCATATGTTTTCCTTTAAACAGGGACGTTGGTTGAGCGAGTCTTCACCATTTGCTCGAACCTACACCCGAGGAGCAGGCCGAGGCCGATCGCTGAAGCGTGACATTGGTGTGTCACCCCCGCTCCAACTTTGATAGTGAGCTCGACAAAGAGCAAGTGAGGGCTCTGTCCGAGACGCACCATATCCCAGGGGGCTATAGGGTTAGAGTCCCCTATGTTGGTGACCGGTCGTGGCAGCCCCCGAGGGGAGGTGTCTGTGCACGAGCACTACCTCCACTTCGGCCTTCGTTTTCCCTTGCCTCCCCTCGTCCCAGAAATCCTTAACTACTATAATATTTCCCTTTGCCAGCTTGCTCCAAACGCCATTAGGACCATAGTGGCCGTGTTGGTGATGCCCTGCCTCAGAGATGTGTCCGTGACCCTGAAAATCTTCCGGGGTCTATTCGCATTGAGGAAGCATCCTGACGGGGAAAGTCTGTGGTACTTCCAAGGCCGATGGGGTAGGGTAGTGGACAACCTGTCGGCCGTCCATAACTGGAAGAAGTTTTTCTTCATTAGCTATCCACAAGGATGGTCCTTCCGGTTTGATTGGGGAACGCCGAACTCGTTGGCCAAGAGGATCAGGTCGTACAACGGTGAGGAGTCAGCCGTGATGAATCGGATTCGGCTGATTGGGACGATTCATGCCAGACCCTTAGTGGCGGAAGAGGTGTTGGGCACTCCTGTTGTCAGCTAGTTGTGTTACTTGTTCAGTGTTAATTGTCGTTCTTCTAACATTGGTCGTCTTTCTTGGTTGTAGAGATGGACGACGGCTTGAAGGAGAGACTGTTGCAAACTGCGATGGCAAAGTCCAAGAAGTGCCCAACCGAGGGGATTTCATGGAAGCCGAGTGAGAGGGAATAGCCTCGACCAAAGGGGAATGCCTAGGCCGAGAAGAGAAAGGTGGCCACACCAAAGCGGCTAGGCGAGGTCCCTCAAGATCTGAGGACGAATAAGGTTGTGGTGAGGGACCACCGAGCCGAGGGTGCTGCTGGGGGGTCTCGATAGTTGGGGCCTCACTCCTCGGACCCACGGGACGACATTCCACTAGCGGTGTGCCGGGTGTTCCGCTCGAATTGGAGCGTTAGGGAGGGCGAATCTTTGAGCAACGCATGTGTCGACCGCGCCTTTATCCCCAGCATGCTTCCTACTGGAGATCATCAGTCGTGGATCCAGGTCTCCCCCCAAGCTATCCGAGAGACGTTGCTTGACAAGCTGCTCGAGGTAAGGCTGGACCTTTACTTGCTTTATGACTGCTTTATTACTTATATTTTTCTAATTGACATGAATTCTTTGTATCTTTGCAGACGTCTTCTTGCGCTATCAGCCTCAGTGACAAGATGGAAGTAATGACACATCAACTGCGGATGTCGCAGGAGATCAAATAGCTGAAGTGCTAGCTGGCCGAGGAGCGGGTCAGTCAAGATGGCTCGTGGGGAACACAAGTGTCGCAAGAAGCTTGAGGCTGATCTGGCGGCCAAGAGGGTGCAGCTGAGGGCCGCCAGGGCCTCATTGGCTGAGGTGGAGCAGAGGCTTCAGGAGGCGTCCACCTGAGCTGTGGAGGAGTACAAGGCCTCGGAGGCTCACAAGGAGGAGCTGGCCGAGTTCGGTGCCTCTTCATATTTGGAGGGGATCGAGGATACCCGGGCTCAAGTGTTGGCGTTCTTCCCCGACTTTGATGTCGACTTGCTGGGTCCTCGCCTTCCGAGCTAGTAGGCAGCCAAGATGGCAGGCGGCACTCAACAATGCACGCAGCAGGAGGTGGCGACCGACGAGCATGTTGACATTGAGGCCGAGTGAGGATGCTTGCGTAGGGTAGAGGCTCCCTTCTGCAACGACCTTTGGACATAGTTTTTGTTTCTTTTTCTTATTTTTGATATATTTTTTGTAAGGGGCTTGACCTCCCCCATCAAAGGCCTCTTTTTGTAAAGAAAATTGAATGAATATACGAATTTTTTGCCACATCAAGTTTCTTGTAAAATATGTCATTTCTTTTTACTTCCGTCTTTCTTTTGTCTTACGCAAGGAGCCGATGCCTCCCCCGAAGGGGAGGATTTTTCAAAGAAACTCGTAACTCCTGACTTAGCTACTCGTAAAGGTGTTTCACCTTAAGGCTTTTAGGCTGAGGCTAACTCTTTTCGCCGAGGTCTCGGGATCCTCTTCCTTAGCGAAAAGGAAGGGAGGTGATTGCCTTAGCTTGCCTGGCATGTTCTTCCTTAGGGACTTAGAGACCGGACTCGTGCGTGGCTGAGGCCCAGCGAATGGTACGCGGCTGAGGTCGCGGAGTGCCTTTACCTTGATGGAGTAGCGTTATTTGCTTTGTGTGTTGTTCATCGTGGTTTGTGTTAAGTAATGGGCCGATGTTGTCTCTTTGTCCTACACAAAGACTCGCTTATTTTGAGGGTCTTTAAGGCTGAGGCCAATGCCGTAGGCCGCTTATTAACAATGGCCGAGGTCTTGGAAGTTCTTGCCTTAGCTAAAAAGGTGACTAGGTATATGACTCTCAAAGAGTCATGTACATTGGGTCGACGTCTAGTCGGAGCGTATAACCTTAACGAAGGTTGTGTGCTACGGCCAATCGTTTGGCCGAGGAGTCTTGGCGATTGGATAAAACGAGAACGTTTGCACTAGGGCGAATCAAGCCGAGGTGAGAGGAATTTGCACACTTTTTTCACAAAATTTTCACTAGCCATGTTTACATCACTGATAATACATTCGGAGGTTCTTAGAGTTCTAGGTATGAGGTACTTGTCCTCCACCCATGTACTCCAACCGAAAGGTGTCGAGGCCGACCACTTGCTTGATCCTATAGGGCCCTTCCCAGTTAGGGCCAAGCTTTCTGGCGCCAGGCTCAAGAACCATAACCTTCCTGAGGATGAGGTCACCTTCCTTGAAGTAATGCTCCCTAACCTAGAAGTTGTAATATCTAGCAACTCTTCGCTGATAGGCCGCGACCCTGATTTGAGCTTGCTCTCGGACACCTTCCAACGAATCAAGGTTATTCCTTAACTGTTCATCATTCTCAGCTTCTTGGAATGCCTTGGTTTGAAGCGTCAACTGGCTGATCTCTGCTGGGATGACAACCTCTGTTCCATATGTCAAGTTGAAGGGAGTTTCACTCGTGACAGTCTGAGGTATCGTCCGGTAGGCCCACATAATGTTGTATAGCTCATCTGCCCAAAGTCCCTTGGCTCTGTCTAGCCTCGCCTTTAGCCTGCCCAGGATGGTTCTGTTAGTGACCTTGGCTAGCCCGTTGGTTTGTGGTAGCCGACTGAGGTGTACTATCGTCTTATCCCCAAACTTCCATGCCATTCTCTGAACCTCACATCGTTGAACTGTCGGCCGTTGCTTGTAACGAGCATGTGGGGGATGCCAAAACGACAAATGATATTCTTCCAGAAGAAACTTTGGATTGTCTTAGCCGTGATGGTTGCCAAGGGCTCGACTTCGACCCACTTGGTGAAGTAATCTGCTGCAACAACGAGGTGTTTCCTATTCTCGGTGGTTGGGGGGAATGGTCCGAGGAGGTCCATTCCCCATTTTGCAAAGGACCAGGGGCTACTAAGAGCCGAGAGGGTCGTTGCAGGCCGATAGAGGATGTTAGAGTGCCTCTGGCATCAGTCACACTTCTATACCAACTCAATAACTTCCTTCTGAATGGTTGGCCAAAAGTATCCT